TGTCAGTCAAAAATCCATACAGCGCCCTCTATTGATGTGATATATGTTAACAACCAAGTACCGTACTACATTACCTACGTTTGCTGATTACCTGTGTGCCAGAACACTCAATATTTTGAGTCAGTCCAAAATATATACAGCGCCCTCTATTGGTGTGATATATGTTAACAACTACCAAGTACCGTACTACATTACCACCATTATAATTGCTAGTTACCTGTGTGCCAGGAAACATAATATTGGGAGTCAGTCCAGTTATTTTTTATTTCAGACAAATGTGTCCATATCAAAAACAAATAAATACTGAAATGAATAAAAAAAAATATAAATAGGAAAAAAATAGTTCGGCTGCTATTACGTAATCGCACAGAAAGTCTCAGTATAACACTTGATTAAAACATTATAACAAGGCTGACTTCCATCACACGTCACTTTTGGACAAGCAAGCAGGCTCTCTAAATGTATATACAATATTTCTGTTATTTAAAAAAAATGATTTGACACGATTAACAATAAATATAAATCGAACACTGGGGTCATATGGATCGCCAAAAAGTCTACAGGATACGGATTGACCTTCAAGACATTAAGAATCGCTCAGTTAAATAAAACACCACTGCTGTGAGTAATGTATATTATAACAATAAGTTTTGAACCATAGCTGCACTTAACCACAGTCCCTCTATCACAGTCCCTATCACAGTCCCTCTATCATAGAGGGACTGTGACTGAACACATTTCCCAAGTAGTAGGTTAGTGACGCTGGTGGTCAATGTTCGCATTATCCTTCGCGTCGCACGTGAACCTATAACCCAGATATGTAAACTGCGAGACAAATTCTGTATTCTGGCCCATCAGGCTCACCGGAAGCAGACTTCCGGTAAAATCGTCTATAAACTGTCGGTCCCGTGTGCTTCCAGCTCACGTCAAACGCAGCATATTTTCGTAAGAGTAGCTGATTACCGCGGGGTGACTATATAATCAGAATTAGAAATGTTGTATGAGAGTATTGTCTGTCAACTTGAATCGTCCCGTAACCTGTTCATGTGTATAATGACGCGTACGAGGAGTAAAAATGGCAATGGTCGTCGTAAAGTGGCAAATAAATAAATCTATGGCATTTATTTTGTCGTCATTGTTAATTCTACGCTTGGAATTTAAATCAGGGATTTAAATATCAACGTGTGGTCTTTGTTCTTTGATTGGGGTTCTTCTTAGGGTGGTGGTTTCTTTAAACCGAAGAACGCAGAACGACTGGAAGAATATATATGTTATGAATAAACAGTATGAACGATGACTGAATTTAAATGTATTAAACAGTAAGAACGATGACTGAATTTAAATGTATTAAACAGTATGAACGATGACTGAATTTAAATGTATTAAACAGTATGAACGATGACTGAATTTAAATGTATTAAACAGTATGAACGATGACTGAATTTAAATGTATTACAGCAAGTCTTAGCAAGTCTCAGAAGTATTGGGGCAGCCAATTTGCAAACTCGCTAGCGAATTGGCTAACTGCTTGGGTTTTGACCAGGTTTTTGACTAAATGGGTGTCTTTCGAATCTCGCTGGCGCCGGTTTGTGATCGCGTCCACTCTTGGCGAGTCTATATTGCATTAGGGGACATGTTTTTACGCATTCTCAGGCTGGTACATGTCTGGATTCCCCTGAATGATTTGAGCCCTATTTGAGCCCGAAAATTGCCAGTCAGCTGGCGTGATAGTATTATAAATGCGATTAATGTACCGATATTTATTATATGAGGTTAACACTGCTTGAAACCAAATAGACAAGTTGAGAAACAGTTTCTTACAAATCAGGGAGAAAATAACAAACTTTCACACTCAAACGATCCGTTGGGGTAACATTAAGCCAACCGCTGAAAAAAATCGACCTCATTCGTCGTTTTTGTGTGGACACGAAGAGCATAGAAGACTTTCCCTGGTACATGTATATTTCAAAGCGAAATCGCCATCCCACTGTAAAGACCGTCGGATTGGCTCATAAAGTATGAGGATCGTTCCCTAATGTTACATAGATTCGTCGGCGAGATTCGAAAGCCAACCGTTTAGTCAAAACCCAAGCAGTTAGCCAATTCGCTAGCGGGTTTGCAAATTGGCTGCCTCAATACTTCTGAGACTTGCTGTAAGCAGTATAACGATGACTGAATTTAAATGTATCAAACAGTATGAACGATGACTGAATTTAAATGTATCAAACAGTATGAACGATGACTGAATTTAAATGTATCAAACAGTATGAACGATGACTGAATTTAAATGTATCAAACAGTATGAACGATGACTGAATTTAAATGTATCAAACAGTATAAAGGATGACTGAATTTAAATGTATTAAATAGTATGAACGATGACTGCATGTAAATGTATTTATTTGAATATTAATGTGTGTTCTTTGTTCTTCGTTTTAAATATTAGGGTGGGGGTTTCTTTAAACCGAAGAACAAAGAATATATATATTATGATTAAACAGTATGAATATTCTGTCTTCGTTCTTCGGTTTAAACACACCCCAATGGATACCTTGAATGAGCGGGAAATATAGCTCCCCATCTCACGCAGTACATTTGGTTTTCATACCTGGTCAGTTGATAGGAAATCAAATAATGAAAACCGGTACCTTGCGTTATGCAGGCTTATTAAAGAAGGTCCAATGCTTGTTTCTGTCAGAGGCCTTAGATGCATCAAGAAGTCAAGTGACATGACTTCCCCGAGAATTGTAAAGCTCATTACTTTTTTTCTACTCAAAATTACACAAGTCAGTCCAGTAATTCTCTGTAAACCCAAATTGATTGTCTGAAACATCAAAATAATTCTGGCATCTGTTAAGAAGTATGTGATCAAATTCTTTGGATAAAACTGTAGTGATGGCAATGGGTCTATAATTGTTCTTACTCGTCATATTCCCACTTTTGTTCCTAATTATTTGGGGCAGTTCAACTTCAAAATATACACAGCGCCCTCTATCGATGTGATACACGTTCACGACAACCAAGTAACATACTACTTTACCGGGTACCACCATTACACTAAAATGTAACGCTTACAAGTATTGTGTTGTATTATTAGAACATACTACCACATGATTCACATGACAGTGTGGGATGTAAATGTGTCTGGGTTTAAAAATACAATGCTTTGTCACGAAATAATTGCCCATCAAGAGTGTTAACTGGTAGTAAATTACTAGGCTGAAAAAAACTTCTCTGTAAATGTTTTAAAAACAGTTTCTTAAATAAATAAAACAGTTTCATCATATGGCATACGTGGGTTACCTTTAAACTGGTTGAATAACTACCTATCAAATCGAAAGCATTTTGTCCAGACCAATGGTTATAAATCCACAATGCAGTCAATTAAATATGATGTTCCACAGGGTTGTATACTAGGACCTCTATTGTTTCTTATTTACATTAATGATCTTCCTTCTTCATCACCTTTCTTCCAATGTAAACGTTTTGCCGATGATTCTAATCTATTCCACTCTTACACAAATTCTTTAAATGTTCCCGAAATAAATAACAACCTATCTTTGGTGAGTGACTGATGTCAAGCTAATAAACTAACAGTAAATAATACTAAAACTAACTACACAATTTTCTCAACTTCTACTATTTTTAAAATATAAAGATGAATGACACTAATCTACAGAGAGTTGGTACAACCACATACCTTGGACTATTGATTGATAAAAATCTCACCTGGAAACCCCATATTATTATTAATAAAGTTCTATCTAAAATTAGCCCGATAATTGGCCTTATTTCAAAGTTACGTCACCTACTCCCAAAATATGTTTTAATCTTACTTTACAACACTTTGATTTTGCCACACATTTCATACGGTTTAGAAGTATGGGGAAGTACATATCCCACTTTACTCAAGCCAATCCACATTCAACAAAATAGATTAGCACATATTATCCTTTTCAAAGACAGATATACTCACAGCCAACCACTATTAAACTCGCTAC